TGTAGTCCTACCTTTCCACACTCACGGTCAAAGTCGGCCAGCATTTGTGCCGCTTGGCTGATGTTTGGTGTTATTAAAACAACGTCATCAGCAAAGCGGAGGTGGTGTAGTTGCCGACCATCTATCTTCACTCCCATTCCTTCCCATTCCAGTCGTCGCATGATGTTCTCGAGGGTGGCACTGAAGAGTTTCGGTGAAATGGTATCACCCTGCCGCACCCCTCTCTTGACATCAACGATCACTTCTTTGTAGAATGGTGAGATCCTGGTAGTGAATCCGCAATACAGCTCACGGAGGATCCTGATGTATTGGGCTTGAATGCCCTGATTGGCTAGGGCTTCAATGACCGCTTCCGTCTCAACAGAATCAAAGGCCTTCTTTAAATCAATGAACGTTAAGCAGAGCGGCATCTTGAACTCCCGAGAAACCTCAATGAGCTTGGTTACCGTGTGGATATGGTCGATGGTGCTGAATCCTTTGCGGAACCCTGCTTGCTCGCATGGTTGTCCTTCATCTAGTGTTCTGCCAATCCTATTCAGGATGACTCGAGTGAACAGCTTGTAGATGACAGACAATAGGCAGATCGGGCGATAGTTGCCAATGTCATGGATGTCTCCCTTCTTGAACAGTAGTACGGTCCTGCTGGTTTTCCATTGGGACGGAACCTTGCATTCAGACAGGTAGCGAGTGAAGAGCCGAGCCAGTGTATTGATGAGTACTGACGGCAGGTTCTTCAGGTGTTCAGGTCTGACCTTGTCTGGGCCGGGTGCTGTTTGCTTCTTTACCAACGAAATGGCGTGTCGGATTTCGGAAGGGAGAACGTTAGGAACGACATACCCATCCTGTGGAATTTGGTATGTTGGCAAGTGGACATGGCTATCGAAGAGATTTGAGTAGAAGTCATGGATAATCTTCTCCATTGCCGTTCTGGAGGATGTGATGGATCCATCAGGACGTCGGAGGGCAGTCATCTTGCTCTTATAGTTGGCGAAGGACAGGCGGGCCTTACGAATACTTTTCCCGGCTTCTGCCGCATCTACCAGTACTTCTGCTCTTCTCTCTTTGAGGTCTTCCTTGATCGCATCTCTGCACTGCTTTGCAAGCTCGGACGTTAGCTTGCGGTTGCCTGAGGCATGCGCCAAACCACGCTGGCGAATTAGCTCAAGAGTTTTCGAAGATAGGCGACTTTTTGTGGCTATCTCTCTCTTGGCGTTCCTCGCACATTCATGGAGGTGCTGAACCAGTCGATCGTATTCCTCGTCAATGTTGTCAACAATGGCATCTTCCCATGTTGCCGCAATAGTACCAAAGAGTTCCCAGTTGGTGGTCATTCTGGGAGTTCTCTTTTTGAACTTTGCAGCCCTTTCTCCCCGCTCTGTGAAGTAGAATTTTGCACGAAGGAGACGGTGGTCCGATCCCGTTCGAAATTTTGGGACAACAGCGACATCAGTCAGGCAAAACCGTCGATTGAATATGATGTGGTCTATTTCGTTGTGGAATCGTCCACCGGGAGACTCCCATGTCCATCGTTTAGATTCTGCCTTCTGGAACTGTGAGTTACCATGGATGGTCTTGGTCGACATGATGAACTCTGACAGTCTCTCACCCTGTTCGTTCCATTCTAGGCCATGGGTTCCGATGTGAAGTTCTTCAGCTGATCTTCTCGGTCCTATCTTGGCATTAAAATCACCCACAATGATCTTGTAGAAGGTGTGGTCTTCTTTATAGAACTTCTCTAGCTCCATGTAGAACTTCTCGATTTCTCTTTCATCATAATGAGATGTTGGTGCGTAGACAACGAAGATAGAAACTGCAGGCAGTGAGCCACATCTATTCAAATGTAAACGTCCGATTCGGGTTGTTAGGCATTCGAATGAATCAATGCTCTTGGCCAAGTTTGTGTTGACAAGGACACCGACGCCTCCAACACCTCTTTTATCGCATGTTCCGAGGAACAATTCTTCTCCGGTGTCAAAAACAGCATGGTGAGATTCGTGCCTTCTTGTCTCGGTCAGACCAATGATGTCATACTTGATCATTCGCGCTTGTACCATCAGGTCCTCGATGGATGCATCTGATGCTAGCGTACGTGCATTGAAAGTACAGACGATCATTTTTGTCTTCCTTCGTTGTGGCAGCCTAGGTCGGCCTTGAGATTTTGTCGGCCTCTCCTTTCTCATCCTTCTCAGTGCTGCCATGTTGGTGAAGCCTTCAGGGTCAGGTGAATGAGACCAGTTGTAGTTACTGGTTTTGGCATATCGAATACACAGCGGATAGCTTGCCAGGCTCTTCAACTGAAGACCCACAGAACAAGCCGTCGCCACACTCCAGGACGCTTTCCGGACCCACGCGGCAGCTCCGGCCGAGACCCACGCACAACTGAAGACCCACAGAACAAGGTAAGTGGAACTCTCTGAGACCTTGGACTCCAGGCTCGGCGGACCCAGGGACAGAGCTTCTCTGCTTGCTCCCACCACCACAGGTGACAAAGGGATTCTAAGCAGGAGCCCCACCCTACCCTGCCCTGTCTGCTTCCATCAACCACCCAGGGATCGAATTGTGCACAGGAGACCCACCCTACCCAGATAAATACCCCACTGGCAGATTTCCACTCTCAACACTACTTCCACTACCCAGCCGTCGCCACACTCCAGGACGCTTTCCGGACCCACGCGGCAGCTCCGGCCGAGACCCACGCACAACTGAAGACCCACAGAACAAGGTAAGTGGAACTCTCTGAGACCTTGGACTCCAGGCTCGGCGGACCCAGGGACAGAGCTTCTCTGCTTGCTCCCACCACCACAGGTGACAAAGGGATTCTAAGCAGGAGCCCCACCCTACCCTGCCCTGTCTGCTTCCATCAACCACCCAGGGATCGAATTGTGCACAGGAGACCCACCCTACCCAGATAAATACCCCACTGGCAGATTTCCACTCTCAACACTACTTCCACTACCCAGCCGTCGCCACACTCCAGGACGCTTTCCGGACCCGCGCAGCCGCAAGCGGCCGCGCGACACATCATAAGACACTAAATACCCATCTTCTGGAATTGTCGTACCATATTTGATAGGGTTCAAATATGGTAACACCTACAAGGGTGATTAGAGGCCACCCCAAAAGCCTCTATACCTCTCGGAAAGACTGGCAAGCTACCGAGAGTATTCCGCCCGCACTTCTACCTGAAATAATCTATTTTTTCCATGTTTATTAGGGAGTTAATAAGAGAACTTTTATTTCAATAAAATTCATTAAACTCAGCTATAACTTATTAAAGATATGAAATATCTTCATTTTTGTTATTTTGTTTCAAATAATTGGAATATTACACTATTTTCTTTTAGAATTTGGGGAAGGGGGGAATACCTGGCTGTGTTTGGGGCTTACTCTAAGAGATCACTTATTTCAAGGCTTATTGGACCATATGTTGTGCCAGAGATTGAATCTGGGTTGGTCACATGCAAGGCAAATGCCATACACAGTGTACTATCTCTCTGGCCCCATATTGTCAGAATTTTTTAATAATGAAAATATTTACAGATTTTATATCTGAATACCACTTAATTTTTGTATATTTATTCTATAGAAATGGAAGTATCAGTATGAAGATTTAAGACATAAGGATGCTCATTATATTTTTTACACAAATACGAACAAATCAATAATATTTTCCCACCACCAGAATACTGTCTAAATTTCCATCAGTTTTCTAATGCTTGCCTCATATTTACAAGAGACTCACTAAAAAAAATTATCTTCTCACTTGAATGTGTGTATATTGCTCCAGGAGCACGGTCATAAAGTACTATTACGTGAAAAACAAAATTACAGAGTATTGTTGTATTCAGTTTTGCAAAAATAAAGATTTAAAATTACAGACCAAAAGCTTTTTTTTATATGTGAAGATATTTGACACAGATATTTATATACATATGGATGCATTTATTTTAGGTATGAAAGATAATATAGCCAAATCTACAGGGTTATTCTAAGGAAGATGTCAGATGTGGAAGGAAAAAAATGAATTTGTCCTTTACACATCTTCATCATTTACATTGTCAACATACATGTTATATAACTCCACAGACAAATTAAACATGGTTGATAGTCTATTGATACTTCCATGAAATCCTGGTGTTAATTATTGGAGCTTTTAAATGTTTTAATTAATTAATTTTGGTTTGGTTTTTGGCCACACCTGGAAGTGCTCAAGACTTACTCTTGCTTCTGCTCTCAGGGATTACTCCTACCAGGACTAGAGGACCATGTCAGGCTCATGCAAGGCAAGCACCTTACATATAGTACTAGCTTTCTGGCCCCTTGGAGCTTATTTTCACATTTAATTGACAACTCTCTGCATGTTTATCGAGGCTTTTCTATCACATTCTTTTGCAATGTAAATCATTACTGTGAAAACTGCTTCTAAATAAAGAACCAATTCAGGAATTAAAACCTACCCAGCTTTCACTTTCATATGTGTATGCAACATATATATGTATATATTTTTGTCTATATGACTATGTGTTTATTGGAAATAATGGACTTCTAGCATAGTAACACTGTCCTCCCATTGTACATCGATTTGTTTGGGCGGGCCCAGTAACGCGTCCATCGTGAGACTTGTTGTTAGTGTGTTTGGCATATCGAATACATCACGGGTAGCTTGCCAGGCTTTGGCGTGCAGGTTGGCCACATGGGCCACATGCAAGGCAAACGCCCTACCCCCTGTGCTATCATTCTAGCCCCAAATTCTAGTATACAGATCTTTATAAGGACTCCTGAGGAAACTTCTCCAATAATAAATACGTGGATAATAAAATAAATAAATAGAATAGGCAAAAATTTAAAATTTCAGAGAAACACTCTTATCCCAAAACAGAAAAGGAAAGCAGTATTAATTAGTTGTTGTGAAAAGACAAGGACTTATGATTATGAGAAATAGTGGTGTTCGGGAATTAGACAAAAAGCAAAAGCAAAGAAACCCACAAATTAGCAAATACCTTTTTCTGGCAATATCTTCTTGTTGGTTGCTTCATGGTGGCAAGGAAAGTCTTCCATGTCTTGATCAGATTTTGAAGGAGAAGAGAGCGAAGTGTCTCCCCAGGTAGAGGAGGATGGCTCCCTTTCCGAGTGCAGTGAATCTTCTGGAAATTCACCCATGTGATCAGATGATAAAGGCAGACTGCTAGCCACTGGAGTGAGGGATGGATCACCAGAATCTGATTCTGGAGAAGTTCTCAAACCCTTGGGCAGAAGTGATTTGGTAACATGCATGTGGTTATAAAGACTGTTTGGAGGCTGTTGGTATAAGAGATTATAAAGGAGGTTATGCCACTGAACATCCATTCCAAGTAATACTTCCTTTGCAATAAGATGGACTTTTTTTTCCCTTAGTGAATCCTAAGAAAACCAACTTAATTGTTGTTGGTTATACAGATGAGACTGTAGAGTTCACAACAATTCACCACATTACCATTATAGCTATCACAGATACTTAAGACATATAGAAACAATTACTTGTACATTCATTATTTTCCACTGAGTATCAAAAGCATCACCATAAAATATGACAATGTGGCTAATCTCTTTGTAGTTCATTGAGTAGAAAAAAAGCCCTTTGATTACAATTATGTTATTTTCAGGTAAGAAAGAATTCAGGAGACCATGAACCAAACTATTTCAGCTACTTCCATCTAGGACACAGAATCTGGTTGCAGAAAAATCATTATTTCAATAAATTGTAGGAAACATTGCCCAAAACTGTAAGTGAAAAGATGGTCAAAGATGTTTACCTTTCGTTCCAGACTGTCTTCTCCATCTGTTGAACTGACACTATCATAGAGTCTTGTCCGAGAAGGCCTCTGGCGTCTGTTCTTAACAGAGAGCTGGGCTCTTGTTTTCAATGCCTTTGAATCTAGGCGCTCGGTCTCTGGGACTGCTTCATTCAAATCTAAGTAAAGAATATTGACAAAGGATTATTGGGAGAAGTCTTTAGGTAAGACTTGCAAAGAAACCACAGCACTAAACATACGGCCAGAGTAATCGTACAGATGGTAGAGTGTTTGCCTTGCACGTGTTTTCTGAGCCCACTGGATTAATCCCTGAGCTCAGAGCAAGGAGTTAGCCCTGAGCATCATTAGATGTGGCCCCCAAACAGAGCAAAGAAACAAAAACAAAAAAGTCAAGGTTTTCAAGAACGTTATGCATCTAATGGGGACAACCATGACACCTGTCTGAGATCCCACAGGTGAACGAAAGAAATTCATGATATTTAGGTGTAACATGCAAAACCTAAGGGAAGAAACTAACCACTAAAGATATAAGAAGAACAAAACTACCCTTTATACTATTAAAAGCACCAAATTTATATTTATTCATGCTTGAGAGTTTGATGAACAAAGATAAAATAGAAAGGCATAGCAAAGATCTTATAAAAGCAAAGACAAAATTTTTAAAAGTCAAGTTTCCAAGTCAAAATTAGATAACAACAGATGACATTTCAGCAAATTTTTTTCCTTTAATAATTTTGTTTTGCTTTTTGGCCACATCCACTAGTGGTTAGGGCTTACTCTAGTCTCTGTACTCAGGGATCATGCCAGATGGGGCTCAGGTGACCATATGGGATGCCTGTGAATCAAAATGGTATCAGCCACATGCAAGGTTAGCACCCTGTCTCTGGACACTTTCTCCAGTCCCTCAATATTTGTCAATATGTAAGGTTTATGTATATTTTATTTTAACACATTTTGCTTACTCAAAATAGAATTTTTGAAAATCTAACACTACTCTGTGAATTCTCTAAAGTGGTGTGTGAAGAATTTACCTTAATAGAACATTTAAATTAGCTGGGGAAATAGTAATTTCCTCTCATTAGCTTGAAAGTTTATATTCCAAGTTATTTATATGTGCCTTTAACTACCTCATTTCTTTTTTCTGGATTACCACTCTTCCTATCAGAGAAGACATGGACTTCCAGAGGAAAATATCTTTAAATTGAAAGTTTCAAAAAAAATTAGTTTTGAAGAAAAGCAAAATACAAAGATATTAACTAGTAAAGGTTGAAATTCACATGATACTTGTCAGTTTTAGCAGCTTTAATCTTGCTACACAGAGTACAAATCAGGACTTAACAGTGGCCATTTGGGTAGGGACAATGAAAGGTTACCATGAGTGTGGGGGCTAGAGAATAGGACGCTTGCCTTGCACACAGCTGACTTGGGTTCAATCCCCTGAACACTGTATGGTCCCCCAACTACTGCCAGGAGTAATTCCTAAGCATAGAAGCAGCAGTAATTCCTGACCACTGCCAGGTATGCCCCACCCCTACTCAACCCCCAAAGACAGAAAGGTTACCACGAATATACTTAGACATTGGCCAAAAAATGGTATTCTTTGGTTGAACAGGTTATGAATGACACCATTACTTACATTTACTTATAAAATCACATCTTAGAATGGATGTAATTTGATCATTAATTTATATTTCTAGGATGTCATTTATTAAACGAAGTTATAGTGGTCAATGGGTCAGAGTGACAGCATAGCAGGTAGGGTGTTTGCCTTCTAAGCAGCCAACTCGGGTTCGATTCCTTCACCCCTCTCGAAGAGCCTGGCAAGCTACCGAGAGTATTCTGCCTGCATGGCAAAGCCTGGCAAGCTCCCCGTGGCGTATTCGATATGCCAAAAACAGTAACAACAAGTCTCATAATGTGGATGTTACTGGTGCCCGCTTGAGCAAATCGATGAATAACGGGAGGACAGTGCTACAATGGCAGTACTATAGTGGTCAATAAATTAATGTGTAAGTGCTTCTTAATTTAAATTATTTTAAAAGGTAAAGGTAAAGGTAAAGGTAAAGGCCCTCCCGTTGATCGTCGATTTGCTCGAGCGGGCCCAGTAACGTCTCCATTGGAGACTTTGTTGTTACTGTGTCTGGCATATCGAATACTCTCGGTAGCTTGCCGGGCTCTCTGAGAGGGGCGGAGGAATCGAACTCGGGTCGGCCATGTTGGCCGCTTGTAAGGCGAATGCCCTACCCGCTGTGCTATCGCTCCAAAAAACAAAACCAAAATAGATACACTGAATATGTACTGGTAATAATAGAATGAAGCCATTCCTTGAGATACTATTACCGCCAAGAATTTCCTTTTCACATTATTATGATACAGGAGTACTCTAAATATACTGTATTTTAAAACCAAACCAATAGAGCATGTAAGGTTGTACCTCTATGATCTATGAAACTTAGTACTTCATTCTAATAAAGTAAACATTTTCTCATAGATGATACATTCATTAAATGATAATTTTATGGAATGTAATTTTTCATTTATTATATTTGAAGAAAAGTAATATTGGAAAAGTCAGGTATATGTAAAAGACTACTAAATATTTTCTAATCACTAGTTGCTTTAATTTTTTTAAATGTCAATGGAGAAAAAATAATCTTATCACATAAATAACAGTCTCTTTTCCAATCTTAAGATATCTACCCTCTTGAGACAGAGCAGCCAAGTACATTTTTTATCTCTCCTGAAGCTCAGAGAACAAATTTGCTCCTACCTACTACTTAAGCTCCATGTTTATTTCAGTTTCTTGACTTCAATCTTTCCATTCCAGTTTTGTTAGTGTTACAAGGTATGAAAGTATGATTTTATTTTATTGTATTTTTAAATTTTTATTAGTGAAACACCATGAGGTACCATTGTAGACTTACAAATTTTTGTGCTTGGGTTTCAATTATACAATGATCCAGTACCCATGAAAGTATGATTTTAAAGCCACTAGGGTTCAGTGTTCTCAGCTGCAAAATTTCATATAAAGCAACTATTCTAGGAAATTCAATCTCCAGCATGCTAAATATATATATGTACAGATCATATGCTATCATATATTTGCAGTTATCTTTCATATGGGTTAGGAGCAAATAGAAAGACATTGAAAACTAGAAAAAAAATATTTCACAGGCGATTTCTTGCTTAGTTGGTTTACAGACAGCTTCTGTTACAAGGTGACAAGATCATCCAGGAAGGAAGCTATTTAAAATTCAAATATATAATGTTGTTTTAAATTGAATATTGGTCAATGAAGGACCCCTTATAGCACCCAACATCTAGGATTATAGGAAATTACTCCTTTGCTGGGTACTGAAATAAGAGATGGAGTATGAAAATGACTTATTAGCAGGATTCCGAGTGTGGAGACTATCCTGAGACTCCTGACTCCACTAAGCTTCTGCAGTTGACCTGGTAACAAACAACTACAAAATAACAATCTTGTTTATTTTCATATCAGATGACAGTGATTAGGTGAAAAATACTGGAGCATATGCATGGAACAATATTCATTACAAGTAAGTGCATGCACAAAGATTGTAGTTAGCCAGAGTCTAAAAGGAGATGTCTTAAATCTGATTAAGTGGCCAAGCCTAAAGTGGCCAACACATCACATGCATTTACCAGTATTTGAGGTCTTGAAATCAAGTATCTCAGATCTATTTACATTATCAAGTCACTGATTACAAATCAGTATATTGCAGTTCATTTCTAAGGAAAAAAGAATTTAAAGCAAGAGCCATAAAACACTAGTGGAGCTGAGAACTTTCGCTGAAGTTAGGAAGGCATGCTGATCAGAAGCAGCATCTATAATAAATATCAGAAATAACATTTATTCCTTAGGATACTAGAAAAGATGGGTGAAGACAGAAGAAAACATGACTAGAAATAGGCAGCTAGGTTCTATAATAGTGATCTATTTGATTTCTGTCAATTGCCCCCGCGCCTGGGTGTTCCTTCCCGGGGCCCCTTGGAGGGGAGCGGGTTGAGCTTTCCTCCCCGCCCCGACCAGGGCTACGCCAGCCGAAGACCTCCAGGACCAGCCACCACCATGCTGAGACCACTCTCCGCATACATGAAGGTACTGGAAGAGGGACAAAGCCACGCGGGTTCCGGGGCCGAGACCTCCAAGCCTACTCAGATTGGAGTTGAGCGTCTTCCACCCAGATCCTCCAAATTCCAGTAGGCGGGGGTCACACCCACCACCTGGCCCCCTGGCGCCGTGTAATCCCATCTGCGGCCAAGACTCAGAGACTATAAAATCCAGATCCCAGAACCGCGTGGCCGCGAATTGCGCGTCATCTTATCAAAACTTTATTTTTATGACATCTTATTGTCTCATTCCTACTTTGGACAAACTTGCAGGCTATCGAATGCAGCCTGCTCACAGGGCAGAGTCTGGCAAACTCCCCATGGCGTACCAAATATGCCAAATACCAGTTACAATGATGGGTCTCATTCTCCTAAAGAGCCTTGAATATAATCTCAGGGCTAGGATGAAAGAGACGTTACTGGGGCCTGCTCGAGGCAATCGACGAATAACAGGATGATGAAATGAAATGAAATGAAATGTTTGTTATATATAAAAATCAAGGTATTACAATTTAAATAGCCTGGCTTTATATCCTAGGTAAGAAAAACAAGTATTAATGGAGGTAACTAATTTGTGTATTAACTGTTTCACACAAACAGTAAATGGAAGAGATTGCGTAGGGCTCAGTCCTCCAAATACTCTTCTCCTAGAAGGTCACAATCAAATCTGAGTATAAACCTTACAAGTTGTTTTTCATCTGCCTTTGGAGAATCCTCATTTTAGTTTTAGTTTATGTTCCAAACAAAACTACACATCACAGGTTAACTTTTCAAATACCCACAGTATGCAGTATCAGAAGGAAAAGCAGAAAGAGCTTTTATGTGGATTTATATTTATCCAAGGAATAAAGTTCTTACATTAAAAAATTAGCTGTCAGCTTTGTAGATGGTGATGTGGCAGGAGAAATCCAACAGGCTCATGGTTCCAAAGTTATATGCTACTGAGTATCAGGGTTTAAGTGTTCTCATTCTCTATCATTCATTCTCTACAGAAATATTAATCAATAAAGTAACACTATTTTTA